GGGACAGCCCTAACCCAGTTGCTGAAAGCCAGGGGCCACGAAGTGACGTTGGTCTCCCGAAAGCCGGGGCCCGATCGGATCACGTGGGTATGTCCGTCCTCTGGAAGCTCTGGGGGACGGTCCGGTTTGGCGGCGCAGGGCGAGCCCCCACACCCACCCCCCAGCACTGTGTTTTCTCTGACAGGATGAACTTGCTACGTCGGGGCTGCCCCGCTGCGATGCCGCTGTCAACCTGGCGGGAGAGAACATCCTCAACCCTCTCCGAAGGTCAGCCACGGCCCTGAAGCTGATAGTCTTCAGAGCAGAGGGAGGACGGTGTGACCCTGATGAGCTATGGAGAATGGAGATGTCAGATTGAGAACTAAACTCCAATCCCAAACTACTCATCCCGCCCCACTCTTCCCTGCACACCTACCTGCCCTTCTGCCCTCTCAGCTGTTGACTTTCGTCCTCACTTACAACTCAGGATGCCCAAAATATATGCATTTTCTTCCCCCAGGAAAGATGGACCATTTCTCTAAACCACAATGCAGGGTTTTGCTAGAAATGGGTCTGGATGAGCCCCAGGGAAAGAGAAAGGGATATGTTCGCGGCTCATTTCCTTTTTGTTTCTCCTGTAGGTGGAATGAAACCTTCCAAAAAGAGGTTCTCAGCAGCCGCTTGGAGACCACCCAGATACTGGCTAGAGCCATCAACAAGGCCCCACAACCCCCCCAGGCCTGGGTCTTAGTCACTGGTGTAGGTATGTCCCAAATCACCACCCTTTATATTAGCCAGAGGAAGAGAGGTCGCAGTGAGGGGCTAGCTCAGGCCCTTCTAGCTCTACACGCCCCAGAGCGCTGGTCTTTTCCAAATACAGAACTTCCTAGGCCCTCCATCCATGCATATTTCTTCTGACCTTTGTGTACTTTCACTGAGAAATGGGGATCCCTGGAGGAAGAGGGGATAGTGGCACTGCTCCTGATGCCGGGAAAAGTCCCACCTACTCCCAAGTCCCTTGCCTGTCATGGCACAGTTCTTTAGGAACGGAATTCCTGATTCTTATATTTCACCATTGGGACGGGATAATTACAACTATAGAACATATGTCACCTGCTACTCCAAGTGTTTTACATGTATTACAGCATTTAATCCTCACAGGAACCCTAGAAGGTAGGTACTATTATGACTCCCATTTTAAAGATGCCAACAGAGAGCTTATATAATTTGCCTGAAGTCACAGGCTTAATAAACGGTGGAGCTCAGAGTAGATCTCAGGCAGCCTGGCCCCCAAGTCTTTGCTCTTAACCACTGCACGCTAGCAGCCCAACTTAGCCCTGCAATTAAAGATAAGTTACCCCAGGGCAGCAACGGGTCAACCCATGGAGCAGCTCAAAGGGAAAGTATCTATGGCTCTGTCTTCCCATGGGAAGATCCCAGGGGCCGAGAAGGGTGAGACCAAGAGGAACAAGGACCAGGCAGGACCAAGGACACTGGGGCAAACCAGTGCTGTTCCACCGGCAGCTTACTACCAGCCCAGCCTGACTGTGGAGTATGATGAGGACAGCCCAGGAGGGGATTTTGACTTTTTCTCCAACCTGGTAACCAAATGGGAAGCTGCAGCCAGGCTTCCTGGAGAGTCTACACGCCAGGTGGTGGTGCGCTCAGGTGAGAACCAGGGGCTTGGGTATCAGACAGGGTTGGAATGTCCACCCTGGGCTGGGGGCCTGGGGGAGTCAGGGGAGCTGAGCATCCAGAGTGAGAGGAGGCTGCCATTTCTGGCCAGCCTGCAGGTGGGAGGACGTGAAGCCTCAGAGAGAGCTAAGTTGGCATGGAGACGGGGAGACTGGGAGAAACAGTGGAACAGCCTGGAGGTTGAGGAGCCTCCCATGCTGTCCCTCTTGCCTGCTCTAGGGGTTGTGCTGGGCCGTGGGGGCGGTGCCATCGGTCACATGCTGCTGCCCTTCCGCCTGGGCCTGGGGGGCCCCATTGGCCCGGGCCACCAGTTCTTCCCCTGGATTCATATCAGGGACCTGGCAGGAATCCTGACCCATGCCGTCGAAGCAAGCCACGTGCAGGGGGTCCTGAATGGAGTGGCTCCAGCCCCCACCACTACAAATGCTGAGTTTGCCAAGGCCTTCGGTGCTGCCCTGAGCCGCCCAGCCTTCATTCCTCTCCCCAGCGTGGTGGTGCAAGCGGTCTTTGGACGAGAGCGTGCCGTCATGCTGCTGGAGGGCCAGAAGGTGGTCCCACGGCGGACACTGGCCACGGGCTACCAGTATTCCTTCCCAGAGTTAGGGGCTGCGTTGAAGGAAGTCGTAGCCTAAGTGGGGAGGCTCCTGGCAGGGCCTGAGGCCTGCCCCTCTACAGAGGCTTCCTGGTTAGAGACTGTGAATACACTTGGGTACTCCTCTGAGACCTGAAACCATCTGGTTCTTAGGGATTCCTCTCCCTGCCCTCCTTCTCATTGTTCTGTTGCTCCACCTTATTTAACTGAGAGACTGTCCACAGTGTCAAGGTTGCAGTCTCATCAAGGTGGGTCCTTAACCTTTTCAACTCCTTGTAAAAGAATTTCCAAGTTTGGTTTCCCTACATGTTCCATTACTGTCCCAGGCATCCTTTATATGTTGTGTAGAATGCTCTGCTATTGAGGCAATAAAGATAAATTATCTCACAGGCTTTGGTTTGCTTCTTTGGCCTAGATTCTCCTGGAGTTTATGTCCGAGAAAATGCCGGATGACTCTTTCCCCTACATGGGGCTCTGAACGTTATAATGGGCAACATCTCCCTTCTTGGTCCCTCCATTGCCAAACTGGTAACAAACCTGGGGCATGAGGTTATAATAAAGGTGGAGACTAGAAAATGAGAGAAATGATGATCCATTAACAGTGGGTTCTGTGGTCATCCTGCATACTTGTCCACACAGTGCCATTCGGGTGCATCAGAGGAAGAGACAAGGCCCCAGTCTAGAACAGCCTTCCGTCTATCACTGAACAGCAGTAAATAAAGCAATCACACATTGGTCCTAAGTCAAGCTGCAGTAGGACAAAGCCAACATCCCTGTCTGTAAGAAGCTGAGGACTTGCCTCTCATCTGACTGGGACCACTTCAGGCAACCAGGGTCCCTAGCACAAAAGGGCAGATGATACCCCTGGCCTCCTGCCCTGGTTATCAGCCACTTAACTTAACCAGCAGTTCCCATATCCCCCAATTTGGGCCATCTTAACCAATCTCCTTTCTTCCCAGAGGACTCTGGGCTGTCTTTGAGCCACCATCACCCCCTAACTAGCTTCTTTCCAACACACTTGCCCCCAGCTCAGGTCAATACAGGCTAGTGGTATAAAGCAGCAATGGGGAGGAGGGGTGAAGACCCTGGGACCCAGAGACTCTCCAGCATCATCCAGCTCCCCACACTGGTTGCTGGAACGAAGAACTGAGGTGGCAGTAGTCAACTTGCTGTGCCTCAGGGAGAAGTGACAGCCTGAAAAGGACCATGTCCAGGGACTGCCACAGAGCCCAGACAGCACAGAATCCAGGGGCACCTGTCCTACAAGTTGATGGGCTCTGTATTGTTCCTGAGGGAATGACCCATCTTAAGGGTAGAAGTAACAGAAAAGCGTATTTGGGGGCTGTGCTGAAAGAAGGTCTACTGACCAATGCTGTCCACGGATGAATGTGCGACCCGGAGGTAGTTTCCCTGCACAGGACTTTAAGCAGATAAAGGACAGGAGGGGCGCCTGAGTGGCTCAGTCAGTTAAGCAGCTGTCTTTGGCTCCGGTCATGATCCCAGGGATTGAGCCCCGCATCGGGCTCCCCGCTCTGCGGGAAGCCTGCTTCTCCCTCTCCCACTCCCCCTGCTTGTGTTCCCTCTCTCGCTGTGTCTCTGTCAAATAAGTAAATAAAATCTTTAAAAATAAATAAATAAATAAAGGGCAGGATGTAGGAATCAGGATGGAGAGGCAATGTTCTTATGTAACAGTGGTTGATCTGGTGGCCAGTCAGGTACCTTCCTTCTGACTTGGGATTCTTCAGTTTTCATTTTCCAGATAACTGGTTCATCTTGATAACCTCTGAAAACCCGCCCACCCCCCCACACACACACACACACAGCAGAAGCGGGGCTCACTTTATGCCACATATGTGTTCTGTAGAGAAAATGCTGGGGTCAGATCACATTAACATTGTCATTGCAGAGCATGGCTTCATCAGTTTGGTGAACGCTCAACACTTCAGCAAGTGCATCTAACCGGGGACTTTCTGACACATCCGTTCATCTGTAAACACTTGAACACAACAGGAGAGCTGCCATCTACAGGAACCCTGAGAGTATTCTGGTAATGCAAACAGTCACCCCTAATTAACTGTTTTGTAAATGTGGATTTGGGGGGTTGCCCAAAAGGGACGCAGCCATTACAGGGCATATGATACTGAGGATGCAGTGTTAATTAAAATCTAGGGCCTGGGCCCTGGGGACAGAGGATCTTCAGCTCTGGCAAAGTGAGGTTTTGGTTAGGCAGCCTGTGCAGCCACAGACAGACACACCTGAGACTTGATGCAAGTACCTTTCCTCTGAGGAGCTTTCCTCTGTGTTCTCATTTCTCTTCCCAGCCGGCATTTTTAGCCCTGATTTACAAGCAGAAGTAAAGGCCAAGCAGCTCCATCAAGGTCACAGACATAGCTGAGACCGGAAGCCAAGTCTCCCTCTGCCTTCTCCACCAGCTCCCTGCTGCCCTACTGTGACCCAGACCCCGTAACACCTCCCCAGGGCCTCCCCAGGGCCCAGCATTCCCTTCGATGCACCCAGCAGTCCAGCCAGGCCTGGGAAGCAACCTGTCCCTCTGGCATCCAGAGCCACAGCCAGGGGGAGGAAAGACTTCGCTTCCTTGCCACCTGCTCTTCGTTCCCCAACCGCCCCCCCCCCCAAGCCTCCATCCCCAACTCAGTTTGGAGGAGGAGCCGGCAGTCCCCACTTCCAGGACCTGCTCTTCCCAGCGGGCCCCCACTCCCTACAGAAACCCTGTGCTATGGCAAGGTTGAGAACTTAAGGCTGAGCAGAACCTCTTGAGAGCTATCTGAGGTCCTGACTCAAGATGAGATCAAGTCCCACCAACTCAGAGTGAGTCTAGGTCAGGGTCTGAGCAGCACAAGGACCCTCACAGAAAGAGCCGAGCCGGGCCAGGCTGGAGCTGACTGGGTGGCAGGCAGGCAGTCAGGCAGGGGAGGCTCAGAAGTTGAGACTCAGCAGGGCCTCGGAGAGCTGGTTGATGTCCCGGCAGTACGGCTCCCGCTGCAGGATGAAGTCCACCTTGTGATCCTGGCCCCAGAACACCTCCAGCAGCTGGCGCCGCAGCCGCTCAGTCTCCCGGGTCTTCCGGATGCCACTGCTGCCTTTTTCCTCCTCTTCTCTCCCCTGCTGCTGCTGCTGACCGGGTTCTGCGATGGCCCTGGAAGGATGCTGAGCCTTAGAAGCCCCCTGTGCCCTGGGAAGAAGCAGAGGGTACACGAAGAGCTGATGAGCACCCTGGAGGGAAGCGAGAGCTCAATGGGCCTCCCAGGTAACGCTGGGGCCGCGGTGGAAGACGCAGTCCTGACGTTCCCCAAGCTGACCACTGAGTGGCAGCATCAAGCCACTTCCGAAGGGGAGAAGACCAGTCCCTTTAGAACCAGGAAGGTGAAGCCTGTCACTATTACGATCTAGTTCTAGTCTAATACAGTGATCGCTTCCATAATGGTCCAGGAGAGGGTGTGTGGAATACAACTGGCTGTAAGTAAAAGCAACCATGTTCCAAATAATCCACCAAAATTATGTATTAGGGGAAGCTCCCCTCCCAGCCAGGAGGGCCTAGATCAGGATGCCCTGAAAAGCAGTTAAAGGCCAGGCCCACAGCAACCAAACCAGTACAGAAGTCAGCTGGGGCCCAGATGAGGTCACCCTGCCCCCAAGTCTCGGGATCTACAAGGCCCCTGCAGACAGAGGGCCAAGGCTGGGGGCTGCCTGGGACAATGTGGGGCATTACCTGACTGGCTTCCTCAGGAACTCATCCAGTGTGGGGCCATTTCGCCCTAACGGGTCATCAGGAACCATGAAGAGGTTTCCCACAAAAGTGAAAGGCAGCAGGCTGGGTGCAGAAAGAGAACGTATGGTCACAGGGGGGCTCTGACGAACCTCCCAGACAGCTGAGACCAGCACCCCCAGAAAACTACTGGCCACCACCCTTCGAGACCATATCAAGTCCCTTCCCAGAGTCTTCACCCGGTGGCGGAGAGAACTGGTTTAGAGAAAGGTCTGAGCACACGCCCTGTTCTCAGGAGAGGGCTCTCACCGCTCCCTGATGATCGCCATCCACTTCTCAGACTCCTCCGCCAGGTCCCGGAACTGGTCATTGGAGACAATGACCCCATCGGTCTCTTCGGCCAGCTTCACCATGAACCTGTCTCAAAAATCACAGCAGCCGTTCTGGGATTCTCCAAGGCCCCAACCCTAAAGAGTATTGTCGACTCCCATGACCCACTTCTGCAGATGGAGATCTGGCCCCCCATCTCACCTTGACCCAGCCACCAAGTGCCTGCCAGATTTAGGTGCCATGGGTTGGAGAGGAAACAAAGATGAATCCAGGATGGTGTCCCAATAGCATCCCCTCCACCTACCACAATCCTCTGCCCAACACTTTGTGCCTCATTAGTGAGAGACAGTGAGATCTGGCTCCAGCCCTGTCTTCTTCCACCCTACCCCACCAGTCAGTCACAAATCTATCATGTTCTTCTCTTGAAAAGCCTTCCACTCTGCCCCTTCCTTTCCAGTCATACCATTACCCTTAGCTATCTGGACACTGCAGCTGAGACACTGCATAGCCTCCTGATAAGAGGGGCCCCTGACCCCAACCATTTACCACCCTTCAGTCTCTCCTGCCTTCCACTCAACAAATCTCTCCCCTGCTTGCCCTTTATCTACCGAGTAAAGTCCACATGCCCAGGCCTGGCAGCTAGCGCCTTCTAAGCCCAGCTCAAGCCACCCTTACAGCCTTATCTCTCCTGGTATTCCTAATGAACTTTCAACTCTGCCAAAATCAATGATCAGATAACACCCCGTTCTCCAAACATGTCCTGTGCTGACTGCCACGTTTCTCAAACTATTACCTCCATCTGGAGGTGCTTCCCTAACCTCACTGATGAACAGAATCACCAGGAACTTTTAAAAAAAGAGATGTCTGGGCCCCACTTTAGTTAATTCTGACTCCACAAGACTGGGATAGGACTCATGAGGCAGTGGATGGGGGTCTTTTCTAACAAGTTTAGAAACTAAAAGATGCAGGCTTGCCCAAGTCCTCAATGGACAAAAAACTGGCAAATCCCTCCCTTCCCAGAAAACTCCTACCAGAAGGGGGCTCCCTTTCCTCCAGGTTGCCACTGTTTTGGTTTAGGGTTTGTGTGGGCTGCGAAGTCAATGATCAGGCCCGCCCTAATTCCCAGCGTCCCCATCTCCTTCTGCAGGCGCTGCGCCTACTGCTAGGTGCTAAGTGAGCAGCCGATATTTGAAAGACAGTGTGGCACCCAGGAGACTAGTAATCCAGATTCAGTGTAACATGTCTGGTTCTGAGTTTCTGTCTGGGAAACACATGAAGGTATATCCATGGTATCATAGGATATACAAAAGGCATTTGCTGGTTAAGGGTATTTTACTATCGTGTTACTTCATCTGTTGCTCAGCACTACTCATTCAGTAGGCCTATGCCATGCACCACTGTGTCATTCACTGTAACCAGACAAAATTCCAAATTCGCATTGGGCTGCCTGCCTACTGGGACCTACGTAACTGTACAGACACGTGCCTTTAGAATTCATTACAACTGACTCGCTCTTCAGTTTCAATTCTGTGTCAGTGCTGGTGTGGAAAGGTTCCATATCTTGGATAATCTGTGAAATCTAGACATAAAACAGAAGAGCATTGGGAGAAAGTGAACTGCCTTTTTGTAGAATACCATTTGCTTGTTAGGGAGGAAACGTTGTTTGAAAAGACAAAATAAATAAGCACTATAGTTTGGAAACTAGTTTTTCTTCAAAACTGAAAATCCTAGAGGATAAAGAACTTGTAGTAGTAAAAATTTTTTAACTGGTTAACTGGGTTCTAAAATCTGCCCATTTCTGGGGCGCCTGGGTGGCTCAGTTAAGTGTCCGACTCTTGATTTCGGCTCAGGTCATGATCTCAGGGTCGTGGGATGGAGCCCCGCACCGGACTCTGCACTCAGTGTGGAGTCTTCTTGTCCCTCTCCCTCTACTCCTCCCCTCCACCCCCTCCCACCTCTGCTCTCCCTATCTCTGAAATAAATAAATAAAATCTTTAAAGTCTGCCCATTTCCCCACTGTGTAAACTCTGGGGAGGGAATGTGCCCTGCATTTTTCATTTAAACAATCTGGCAGTTTTAAGTTCTCACTTTTCCTTTGCTATGTAATAGCCTTGGTCAAGAGAGCTAACCACTCTTACCCTATGACTGTGGTTCTGTAGGACAGAGACGAGACCCACTGCCACACTAGACTGGGTCTGTGAACAGTTAAGGAATATCACTGTACACTTGCCTAGCACCTTGAGTGAGGCAAGCTCATCCCTTAGCTCCTTTTGATATTCACAAGGAGGGTGACCAAACGAAGAGGACCCTGAGACAAAGAGGTGAGCCCGCTAAGAGACGGGTCCATGGGCAGAGTCAATGAATAGTACAACTTGGGGCTCAAATTCCGATCTTCCGATTCTAAGTCCAGTGACCTTTCTGTCAGAACATGTTTTGTATACCCTTAGAATCCATGGCTTGTGTCTCTTCATTTGACTTGTGATTTGGAATTTACCCTGGCGATTCCAGAACGTTGGGGAATTTCTCTACATGTTTGGAAATGTGGGCTGTCAGAAGGTACTTGTCAGTTACTTACGTCACCAGCTTTCCAGTAAACTAGGATTTTCTAGACAGGAAAGCACTACATAAATACAAGGCAGCATTCAGCTTGAGGAACGAAAAATGAATGAACGGACACACACTATTGTCCACCATCTGTCTCAACACGCCTGCGGGGCAGGTTTACTGACCCATTCGTACAGGTCCACAAAGGAATGACTGGCCATTTTCCCACTGCCCAGGCTTAGAGACAGCACAAGGGGTCAGGAGCTTCTGTCTCTCCCTCAGTTCCCCCACTGTGCTCCTGGAATCTCAAGACGGGGGCCAGGAGAGAAGCAAGTACCTATCATCATATGAGGAGATCCTCTTGCCATCCATGACTCGGGAGGGAGTGAGGGAGAGCAGGCTGAGGGAGTACAGCTTTTGCAGGAAGTGGCCCTCTAGAGAAACACAGGCGCACAACGGGGTTATCCTCAGGCTGAAGCAGGGCCTATCCCAGGTTACAAAAGACCAGGCCCAACTCACCTCTGACCTTGGCATCCTTACTGAAGCGCCACTGAGGCACAAAGACGGTTATGTCCCGGTGGCCCCGGTCCCAGAAGTACTGCACAGCAATGGCGATGCCCCGGCTGGAGAAGTAGTGTTGGAGGCCGTGCCTGCAGTGGGAACGGGTCAGTGCTCCGGGGCCCCAGAGGAGGGGCCGCTCAGGGTCAGGAACTCTGCTCGGATCATCCCTCCCACGCCCACCCCGGATCCTCAGGCCCACCGGGTACTCACACCATGGCCACATTGCTGCCGTCGATGACAATGTGACGGAGGTCTGGCTGGCCGGGGACGTTGGCAAGGCACAGGGTAAAAGGGTCCTGCAGGGCCTCCTGGAAACGCTGCGTGCCGGTCACCAAGTTGCCCCCGCGCGAGCCTCGTTTCCACGGAGACCCACGACCTCGCGCTGCGACCTGCTGCTTATCTCCCCTGTCTCCTCGGTCTCCACAGTGCCACGGGGGTTCGGGCGCAGGTGGAGGGCTAGGCACCCTCGGAGGTGAGGCTTTCCCGTTGTGTAGCCGCTGCAGGAGGGAGGCTCCCCGGGGCTGAGCTGCCCTCTGACAGGGGCCCTGGGCACCAAGAGGCTCGCCCTGGACACATACCAGCCTTCCTCTGTCCTGAAGCACCCCCCCCTTGCCCAGGGCCTTTCCTGTCAGGGGCCCTACCTGCCCTGCCATTCCTCCTCCTGACTGTGATCTGAAGGCCCCTTCTTTCTCCCAAGCCGCTTCCCCAGGCAGTTCCTTCCACCCCAAATCCATCTCCCTGGGACCGCCCTGCTTCCCTCCCTCCTTCTCCATAACCTGTCTCTCTCCCCTCGACTCTCGCCACCCCGTAGGTCCAGGGTCCAGGGACTCCCTGCCTTCACTCGAGGGAGCTCTGACGCCCTGGTACTGAGCACCCAGTGGGCCGGGGCTCCCCCCGCCGCAGGGGGGCAGTGCCTGGGGCCCCTGCCCCCTGGCTGCCTCCTGCACCAGGCTCAACAGTTCCTCCTGGACAGCTAGGGGCAGCTGCAGCAGGGCCTCTCTGTGGGCATCCCCACTGGGCTGCAACAGGGCCGAGAAGTCTCTCAGCACTCCAGCACACTGGGAGGCTCCAGGGGCTCGCCCTGGCCGAAAGTCCCAGCTCAGCCGCTCCACCAGCTCCTCCACTCTGCTCTGAGCCATGACGAAGGCCTCGGTCAGGCCACTGACCATCAGCGAACCGGGGGGCCCTGGGACAAGGTGGGCTGATGTGCTCCAGACCAGACAATCAAGGAAGAAGCCCTGGGCTCCCAGGAAGATGCAATGCAGTTTGGGTGGATAGTGGACTTCATCCTGCAGCTCTGGGCTGCAAAGACCCTTCAGGAACTCCTGGGGGAGGAATGGGCAGGTAGGGAAAAAGGAGACTGCTGGAATTCTACATGGCCCAGTAGCCTCTTCAAGCCCATTGCATCCCACCCTGAGCTCCAGGATGCCTGGGCAGAGCAATGGAGCCCCATAGATCCTGACAAAGGTAAGGATTAAAAAGGGATCAAGAATCCATTTCCTTCCCTTTTCAGCTGATAGTCTATGGCTAATATTTCCATTTAGAACTTGATTCAACTTAAGGTACTATTATAATTAACTGATTATAATTAACAAGGTTGTCTCCCTAAATATTTATGCGTGTGTATGTGTGTTATATATTTCCACCATAATGACTGTCATTGCTAACTTCTGCTGAACTCATGCTTTATCTCATTCACGGTAAGCCCAATGAGGAGGACACTGCTATTTTCACGTTCCATAAATAAGGAAACGGGAGACTCTGTCACAGGGCTGGTAGGTGGTGGAGCTGTCCTGGAACCTCTGACCGAAGGAAGCAATGTGGCCTGCCTTCCCATCCCCCACTGAATTCCTTGGTGGGGCCTGCTTGCCCAACTGGATTATCTCCCAGTCACAACTGATTTGAGCGAATCACCTGTCGCTAAGTCTTGGCAGAACCTGGCTCATCACGGCTGAAATGAAACCAAAACTCCACAGAAATACAGATTTGCAAAGTCCCTCAAAGTTCAGAGCCACTGAGGTTGCCAGTAAGACAACCAAGGAGTGGAGATCCTCCCTAGCAGCCCCTCCTCTCCTCTGCCTCCGTGTAGGGGAGGGAGTCACTGTTCCCTGAAGGGGCAGAGAGGGGTGTTCACCTTGGCTCTGCTGGCGTTCTCCTTGGGGCCCTCCAGCTGCAGCCAGATGTGAGGGTTGTCAGGACAGTCCTTCGGGAGGACACTCATCCCCACGCTGAAGATGCGCTCCACGTACGGTTGCTGCTCCCGCACCTTGTCCTCAGCCTCCGCAGACACAGCAAAGCGGTCAGGGGACGGTGAGCCAGCCCCCCACGTAGGCATGGCTGCTTGGCCACCCAGCCCTGGAAGGAGAGAAGGCAGCTCAGAGCCTCCTCGTCCCCTCAACCCAAATCTTGGTCTCCCAGCCGACACCAGCTATCAACAGGTCGCACCTAGTTACCCATCTAGTAAACACCCTGGGTCCATCTAGGAAAGGAATGTCAGATTATGCGGAACCGGGTCTTCTCTCCGAGAGAAAGTCATGGGCAAACAAGGCTGCCTGTTGGGGATGGGCATCTGGCCTTTGGAAAAGGCTGACCAGGGCCCTAAGCAGGAAGAGTGGGGGGCTCCAGCTCGGCCTGGAGGCCAGAAGTGAACAGATGACAAAACAGTCTCTCTCCTCAGGGTCTCTGCAGTCTCCGGGTCCAAAGCGGCCTCTTAAAGACGAATCCTCACCGGGGCTTGAACTGTGATATCCTCTGGAGTCCCTGGTCTGCCATTTCCAAGGTTCTAGCCCCTCCCACCTCTCCCCCTCCCTCCGCTGTCCGCCGCTCCTCTCCGGCGCGCTACCGCCCCACCCCGGGCCCAGGGGCCAGGCCGGATACCGCCCACAGCCGCCTGCGGCCGCCGCCCCTCCCCCCGGCCGCGCTCTGCACTGGGGCCTCCGGCTCGGCTCCTGCGGCCCGGGCGCGGGGGAGAGCGAGCCTACCCGCCTCCACCGCCCGCTTCGGCCTCAGTCCCGCCGGCGCCTCTCGGTGCCTGCCGGCCCCCGCTTCGCCCGCGCCCCAGGCCCAGAGGAGAAGGGCGGGGGACAGGGGGAGGGCCGAACCTGGGCGGGCCTTCCCGAAGTCCTCACCCAACTGGGACCTGTCTTCACATCTCGAACAGTTTTTTGAGTCACTTCCTGGCCCGGGGTGGAGTCAGCCAGACCCCACCCCGCGCTGGGCCGGCTCCGGGCCCTAGCGCGCGCCTGCCGCCCGGCTCCTCCCCGGCCCGCCCCCGGCCCCGCCTCCCCGGCCGCCCCCGGCCCCGCCTCCCCGGCCGGCCCACCCGCCCGCAGTTCCTCCGGGCTCCGCGTCCAAGCCTGGCTGATGGGCTCTCCTCTCCGCGTAAGTCTGGGTTCTCGCTCGTTCTGAGCAGCTGTTTCTCGGGAGAGAAGAGCCACTCGTTGAGAGCTGGAGGTGAAGAAGGCCTTAAAGGGACTAATCCATTACCTTCGGATGAAGATATGGAAGACCAAGGAGAGAAAGAGACTGACCCACGGTCACAAGATACTGACACCGTTGGCCCAAGCACTTTCCACCAAAACAATTGTAGGGAAAAGACAAGGGCGCCCGCTTTCTTCCAAGAGCGGAAAGGGGCCACTGAGGGCCGTTGACTAGCGAGGGATTTTGAAGAGGGGAGGAACAAGAAGAAGGGAAGGGACTGTAGGGCTGTCTTGCACACACATGCACTCACACACACACACACACATAACGGGCACTCACACGTCCTCACAGGCACATATACACTCTTACGAACACACCAAGTTCTCTGTCATCCCATATGCAGCCTTCAGTGCTCTCCAGAGGGGTTGCCCTGGGTTCTGGCTGTAGCCCTCCTGTCTGGCTGCTTCATCCCTCCTCTCCCTCCTCGAGCCCAACTGCTGCTGTCACTTCATGCCCTGCCAAGGAGGAGGGAACTGCAGTGACGGCGGGAGAGAGAGGCAGGACAGAGAGGTATGGAGAGAGAGATGTTGAGACCAGGGAACAGTGAGACCCAGAGAGCGGGCTGAGCAGCAGGGTGAGAGGTAGTGAGAGTCCACCAGAAGCGGAAACTGAAAGGAACACCGAGAGGGGGCAGAAGACAGGAGGACTTGTGGGTCACAGAGCCACTCAGCCATGCTGGGAGCCAAGCGACACTGGCTACCAGGTCTCCTACCCAGCCCCAGGCTGCCCTCGGCGCTGATGCTTCTGGCTCTAGGGTGCGGGTGGGCCCAAGAGGGGGCAGAGCCTGTCCTCCTGGAGGGTGAGTGCCTGGTGGTCTGTGAGCCTGGCCGAGCTGCTGCAGGGGGGCCTGGGGGAGCAGCCTTGGGAGAGGCGGCCCCTGGAAGAGTGGCATTTGCCGCAGTCCGAAGCCACCACCATGAGCCAGCAGGAGAGATCAGCAATGGCACTGGTGGGGCCATCTACTTCGACCAGGTAATCCCCCTACCCTTGTAAGGACCTGGAATCAACTACCCACACCCACTTTGCTCTTAAGGAAAAGCCCCCCACTGTGACCAGGTGCTCCTCAGCGCCACTGCCCATCTCCCTTCCCTACGCTCCTACCCACATCCCTCCTTGCCCTTTCTCACCATTTCTTTTGAATCTGGGCCTTCCTCCTGTTCTTGTCTTCTTGCCACCCCTTCTTTTCCTCCCCACAACCCAGTAGTTTCCCCGAGCCCCACTCAGCAGAGTCTGCTTCCCACAGGTCCTGGTAAATGAGGGTGGTGGCTTTGACCGGGCCTCAGGCTCCTTCGTGGCCCCTGTCCGTGGTGTCTATAGCTTCCGGTTCCATGTGGTGAAGGTGTACAACCGCCAAACTGTCCAGGTGACCTGTGCGCTGGGGCCCTGTCCCGGCTCAGCAGGGGAGGGGAGGGAGGGTGAATAAGTGGAGTCCAGCTGTGACTCCTCCGTAGACCCCCCATTGACCTGTGGGGTGGGGGGCTGGCAGGGCCAAGGGAGGAGAGGACCAGCCTAGCAGAGAGGGTGGAGGAGGTGGAGGCCAACACTGGCCACCTCTCAGCCCTCCAAGAGTGCACTGAGCCCCGAGTTCCCAGGATTACAGAGTCCCTTGGGGGCTGGAGAAAAGAAGCAGCCCTCCGGAAAGTGGGTGGTCTTGGGGCAAGGGCTGGGCAGAAGTGCTAACTGGGCTCACCTCCCCAGGTGAGCCTGATGCTGAACACATGGCCTGTCATCTCAGCCTTTGCCAACGACCCTGATGTGACTCGAGAGGCAGCCACCAGCTCTGTGTTACTGCCCCTGGACCCGGGGGACCGGGTGTCCCTGCGCCTGCGTCGGGGGAACCTCCTGGGTGGCTGGAAATATTCAAGCTTCTCTGGCTTCCTCATTTTCCCACTCTAAAGGTTCAAGCTTTTCAAGGACTGGACTCTAACCCCTGACCTCTGCCCTCCGCCCTCTGCCCTCTCCTGCCCAGAAACAGCTTCTTTGGGGTAGGAGCGAGGCTCCCTCTGGCTGCCTGTATTCTGCCTTCTTGCATGGGACCCTGTGCCTAACACCTGAGGTGAAGAGTGAAGAGTAGAGCTGTGGTGTCTGGGGACCTGGCCCCTCTTCCCTCCCCTCCCACCCCCTGCCTCTCACTGCAGCTCTTTGTGCCTGTGGGGTTTGGCAGGTGGGGAGGTCTGTGCGACTTTGCAGACTCTGCTCTTCCTGTTCCTCCACCCCCAGCTCTCCCCTCAGTGCTATTTGGGGACAGGTGGCCCAGGTGAGCCTGACAGGCCCCCACCGGGGCCCAGATGGACCAGCCTCAGTGTACCCTGCAGGCTCCTTCCTATGAGGTGTGCCAGCATCACGGATCTTGGCCAGCACAATCAGAAGCTGAGCCAGCACTGTGTGGGCTCGGGCAGGAGGCTTAGGCACCAGCAGAAGTGCGGGGAGGACCACAGAGCGGCCCGGAGCCTGTGGCTGGTGAGGCAGGCAGGGCATGTGCCCAGCCTGAACATGGTATACGTATTTCATGTACATGGGAACAGCCAGCAGGCAGTGAACCTGGGTATCCATCTGTGCTAGGTCCCAGATGGACTCTGGCCTTCCCCTCCCCATCCAAGACATGGGGTGTGTGTGTTCGCTCTAGCCAAGAGTGGGTATACTGAGTTTCCTTAGACAGCTGGAGGTAGGGGTAGAAAGTCACCTGTGAGCAAGTGTAGATCTCCAGGCATGGAATGTGTCGATGACAAGGCCACCTCCTAGAACTGCTCCACCTTTGTGATCTGAACTTCAACCACTCCACACTCTGACGGTCACCTCCCAGCTCTCTCAGCTACCTTTCCTGTACCTGTTCCAGATGATCCCTCAGCCTCTCTTCTTTCTCCTGATTTGTGCTGTCTTGTCCTCCTTTCTTAAACTTCCTGTTATCTTGGATGCTATGATTCATCCCTTCAGCCACTCTCCTGCTGGTATTATAAAATCTCTCTGTCTTACCGAGCTGTCCCATTCTCCCAGCATGGATGAACCTATCAGTAAAGCAACTAGGGAATGATGGTCAGTGAGAAACTGCAGGATCACTGAAGAGACAAGATGCCATTACAATTTGGATCAGGGGTTACAAGTTACAGGCAGGTATGTTGTTGAGAAGATAAATGTAAGCTTGTATATTCAAGTCAAATAAAAAAGGAAATTAGTAATGCTTGAATAGGAAATACCAATGTGAATTTGTGGTTTTCAAAAGAAATAACTTTTTCAAAGTTGTCACTAAAGTAGCCTAGAAACAACATCAGGAAAAATCTGATATGCATTCTTAGCACCAGGATCTTTCCCTCAAATATTATTCACCTTTAAAATAACTCACGGAGGGGGGCGCCTGGGTGGCTCAGTCGGTTAAGCGACTGCCTTCGGCTCAGGTCATGATCCTGGAGTCCCGGGATCG